CAGCGTGTTGGGGTGGTCATTTGTCCTGTAGTGTGTCTCTTGTAGACAAACCACATCAGCCCTCTGTGATCTGAGTTCCCTCACCAATAAATGTCTTTTTACTGGGATATTTAATCCCCTAACGTTCAGTCAACATATTTTCATGAGGGGTCGTATGAGACATTTGCGCAGTGGTACCATGGGTTTGAATCTATCTTGTACGTGGGGCTCACTCGTCCCAGCTCTTTCGAGCAAAGTGGCCTTTCTCTGGAAAAGTGCGTGTAGTGAGTTCACTGTTTACGGTCCGCGGTCTCAGTGTTCGCATTTACATAGGCTGTGCTCACTCTCTCGGAACTTTCCGAACATGAGGTCTGCCCTCATTGAGGCCGCCCACATGGCCATGGGAGTTAACAATTAAACTTTGAGTAATACAGAAAAATAACAAATACAATAATAAAGGAAAAAACTTAACTGCCTGGTTAGTGGCTGGGCACTGTGAAGTGGTGCCCCGGGGGCAGAAGCACATGGCTTCTTCCTAGAGCAACAGAATGTTCTGAACAGTGGCCAAGATAATCTTGGTATTGAAATTTTTTTTTGGGTTGGGGGACTTTCTCGGCATCCTCCCTCCCCAGTTAGTGGAGCCACTTTGCTTCGGTCACTTAATTCCCATAAGGTTATCTGGGGCAGGGGATGCGGGTTGTTGTGCCAGATCAGGCCCCTCTCTACCCATAAAACCCCCCAGCGTAAGGGGGATATAAAAATACTTGCGGTTGTCGTTCAGCCCACTACAGTCTGTGTGTTTGCCAGCGCTAATAAGCGGTATCAGTGTCTTTTTCTTTTCTTCCACTCTGGAGATAGACTTCCCCTCTGTGGTGAGTGGCTCGGGGTGTGTTGGTCTCCCAGTCCCCAGCTCTTCAGGACTCTGTCACCTTCCTCTGGGCTCTGGATCTCGGTAGTCTTCCCGTTCCTTTTGACCAGTAGCTTCAACGGAAAACCCCATCTGTAGGCTAGGTGGTGTGATCGTAGTGTGGATGTGATATTTTGGAAGTCCCTTAGGCGTTTCAGTGTGGCAGCGGAGATATCAGCAAATAGTAGTATGTCGTTGTAGGGTTCAGGCAGGGTCTTTTTGGTCCTGCTTGCCTTGAGGATCGCCTCCTTTGCGTGGTAATAGTGCATACACACCAGCACATCTCTAGGCTTTTCGGGTTGGAGAAACCTGGGCATTGCTGTTCGGTGTGCTCTATCTAGCAGGAGTATGTCTTAAGGCAGGTCCAGTGCCAGAGATTGCAGGAGCCCTGTGATGTAAGTGGTGAGGTCTGCCGGAGTGACCGCTTGGCCACCCTGCGTATGTGAATGTTGTTGCAGTGTCCCCTGTCCTCCAGGTCTGCCATTTTAGCCTCATGGGTGTCCATCCTGGCAAGGAGGCTCTCCATCTTTCCCGCGAGGTCATTATGCGCTTCGGCCATTTCCGCTGTCTTATCATCCACCGAGGACATCCTGTTGCCAAACTCTTGGATGTCTCCAATAGCTATTTGCAGGGTGTTCAGCAGTTTGTTGGACAGTGTGTCTAACATTGTTTGCATCACCGCTTGTGTGAGCGTGGCCGCTGGTTTCGGAGTCCGCTGCTGCTGCCCTGGTTCCTCGTCTGCGCCATCTTGGTCGGGTGCCTGGGCCTGCTGAGATTTGTTCTGACCCGCTCTAGAGGCGAAAAAGCATGATTTTTCGGACTTCTCTGCATATCTCTTGTGTTTAGGCTGAGACATGGTCCGTTTTGTTTGGTAGGTAAAGCCTAATAGTGTTTTTTTGGCCTGTTCAGCACTGAGCACTCAAATCATGCGTCTGCTCTGTTCAGAGTCCAGGACACGCCTCCTTAACATTTTTCTTCTTGAGCAGTAATGAGAGGTGAAGTTAGAGTTTTCCTCCCAGTCTCAGATAGCAAGATATACAATGCATATCTTTTGTCATTCATAAACAAAGCATACACTTTAGGCTAGATTTTGAAAGATATTCAAGAATCAACTTTCATAATGTCTAACATGTTGCATGTCCAAAGGCAAAAGTGTGAATTGTTTAAACTTCTGCTGGAGGAAGTAATCAGAAAACTTTCTCCAGACAAATGATTCAAGGCCTTTTTATTCCAAGGTATTTCAGGCTTCAAAACCAGACAAGTGGAGACTTATTCTAAATTTAGTAGTTGTGGGATAGCAGTGACATAATTCCTGATTTGGGTGTATCTAAAGTCGGTCATGAAGGTGTGGGTGAGTGTGCCCAGTAATGTTTGGAGGGGCTGGATTTTCCCATTTGCGGTGATATCTTGGATTCAGGGTATTTCTTGTGGGAGTATGCAGCGAAGGTTTCCGGGTCTTGTCCCCGGTTCAAAGTCAGGATTGTGTACTAAGGGCCGTAATGGGGATGGGAAAGAAGTGCAGTTTCCTCACTTGTGAGTGCCAAATAGACATGGTAGCTGCGATAAACAGTTGTTGGGAGATTAGGCGTTTGCCCACGGTAGGGTCAAGCCAAAGTAGGGCAGAGAATGGCCTGTCAGCCCGATGAGATTCAATGGACTTCCAGGGCTTCTGTACTCCTGTCTTGGCCCATTCTTAGGTACGTTGCATATGGTATGCTATATAGTATAGTTTGAGAACTGGGACTGCCAGTCCCCCTTCCATTTTGGGAAGGGTAAGTTGTGTGAATTTGAGTCTGGGTTTAGCAACCTTCCACATGAATTTAATAAGGAGAGTTAGGAGTGATGTAAAGAAGGTGGTGCGAAGTGTTTGGAACAGGTAGAGTATCTGCGGCAGAATGACCATTTTGGTTATAGCCACCCTACCGAGCCAAGTAAAATGGGGCATGGTCCATTCCACCAAATTAATTCCTTTGCACGGCCATCAACAACAGAACATAGTTGGTTTGGTATAGGTTTGTCAGATGAGTCGTAAGTCACGCTCCCATTTATTTAATAGCGGTGTCCTGCCATTGAAAGGGGAAGCTTCGACATATCGGAGCCACCCTCTCCCTGGGGGTGCAGATATTGAGAATGGAGGATTTGGCGTAATTGATATTTAGGTTTGAGATATGGCCATATGTCTTAAATTCAGCCATGATGTTCGGGAGGGATATTTCAGGATTTGTGACAAAGAAGAGCATATCATCTGCGTTTGCTGCAACTTTGTGGTGGTCTGCTCCCACCACTACCCTGGTGACATCCGGGTTCTCCCTTATCGCCTGTTAGAACGGTTCGAGGGCAAGGATGAACAGCATCGGCAGCCCTGCCTGGTTCCGTTTGACAGGAAACGAGTCGGTGTAGACCCCATTAATACACTCCGACATCGGGAGACGAGTATAGGGAATCTATCTATTGACACATATGGTTCCCTAGGCCTACGCATTCCAGGACCGCAAAGAGGTAGTCCCAGACCACCCTGTCAAGGCCTTCTATGTGTCAGTAGAGAGGAGAAGGCTTTTCAAGGAGTGCAGCGTCTGGTGGATCAGTGACAGGGCTCGTACCGTGTAATCCTTGGCTTCTTTGTTGTGGACGAACCCCACTTGATCAGGGGAGATTAAGCCTGGCAAGTGTGGTCCCAGTCTTGTTGCTAGTATATTGGCAAACAATCACATATTGCAGTTTAGCAATGAAATAGGTCTATAGCTCATGCACTGCTCGACATCCCTGCCCTCCTTAGGTAATACATTAGCTGCCATCGTCTGCTTAGGGAATTACATGGCTCTTTGTGATTGTTGAAAGCCGAAATAAACTGAGGGGATAAAGTGATTGTGAAGCTTTTATAGTATTTGAGGTGAAGGCAGTTCGGGACGGGGCTTTTCCCTGTATGTGAAGTAATTGCAAAGGCAAGCTCCTCTATTTTTAGAGGTGCTTCTAAGGCTTCACCCGCCTCCGCTGGGATCTTGGTTCTTGTGTCTTTGGTGAGATAAGAGTGGATGCGTGAACCCCCTGGGAATGTCTGTGTGGGCAGTGCATATAGGTTTGTGTAAAATAGTTTCACTGCTGTGGCTTTTAATTTTTTTTAAAATAAATATTAAAACTATAGCTACACAAACCAACATCATGGCTCTCTTTTAAGTGAAAGGTGGGTATACCCTCCAGGTAGCTAAGCACCCCCCATCTAAAGTCCTGTAACAAAGCAGGCACTCTAAGGTTGTGCCAGTCTATAGGATCCCTCCATAGAGTCTACAGACCGGTCTCCATGTCCTCATTGCTCCAGTGGGGCAACTTGGACTTCTTTCCCGCCGCTGGACACTCAGGGCAGAGGGTGTGCAGCCTCTCAGCTAGTGGTCTGCGGAGGCCCTTATGGGGCAGCCTCAGGAGATGCAGCTGCACAATGAAGGTAAGTGGAGTTCCAGAGCGTGGGAGCATAGAACCTTCAATATCAGCTTTCAGGCTGTTATGGATATAGATAGAAGCATATGAGAGTTAACTAAAGGAGAAATGGCAGCCACATTTCGGACATGTATTTTACCAGAGGCAGTTATGCAAAACTTGAAGCGTAGAACAGTTGGCCAAGATAATCCCCACCGGCTAATGGGGAAGCGGGGGCCATGTCCCATGCCATTTCGACTCAAACTCACCCCAATCTAAAAATGTACCAAATTCTAGAGTCATTCTGGTGCCAAAAACCCTTTATTTTCCAGAGAAATATCCTAACACAACTAGTTTTGTGAGAACTGGAGGAAACTGTACTAGGGCAAGAAGGTCTGAGTATTTTGTTACATGTCTATGGGTGTGTATGTTTTTATCAACTTTATTGCTTAACAATATTAACTTCTTGCACATTTTTTTATGGCCCTATACAGTAATTGAATGCCCCTGGACAGACCCAGATGGTGTACTCTCCATATTGGTAAGAAGGAAAATGAGGCCGTAGATCTCTTGCCTTGATTCAGATTGCAGAAAATATGTGTACATGCAATTAAGTGTGTCATTACTTCCGATCAGTAATATATTTACTCTGATAGGGGTAAGGTAATGGTGCTGAGAATAAGATCCATGTGGACTTAAAAGTCTGGTTTGGAAGCAAAAAATAGAGAATGTACCCTTTTCCGGAAAACAAAAACAAACAAAGGCTTTCTTTTAAATTTACAAAAAAACAGTTTATTTTATTCAGACAACTCAAAAGAAAAATAATATAGTTTTGATGCAGTAGCTGGTCTGTACTTCAGATTCTATTCAAACCCCCTACAAAAGAAAATAAATTGGATTAACAAAAGAGCCGCAGTGTAATACTGATTATAGAAGTTTATTTAATTAAAATCTCACTTGATAAGGTTCGCAATTTCCCAGTTTGTTTCTGAACTGAGGGGTCCTTCGATCTCCACTCCACTCTCTGTTACTGTGGCAATTTCATACTGCAAGAATTAAGTAACCGGGATTAGCATGACAGCTTATGCCCAATATACAGAATATATTTACTGCTCTAGCAGGGCACTTACTCTGTTATAAGAGCGGGCATCTCTGTAATAAAGAACTTTCATGCAGCGCTCCACCAGCGCGCGGGCCTCTTCTTTGGTCAGGGACGGTTTAGACTCCAAAACTTCTCTCATTAGAGGCTATAGGTGGAAACAAGTTATGACATAAACCATCTTAATTCAGTATAGTTGGATCTGAGAGCAAGTTAAAATGCTATCTGCTCAAAACATTAATTTGTTTTTGTAATGTTTTCGGATCATTATTTATGGCCTGGAAAACAAGGATGATAAAAATATTGGCACAAGATAAGTAGCTCAATTGTGACACACTATCAGCCGATTGGTATAAAGCAATCATAAAAATGCATGAGTGTCTTCTGTGCCATAAGTAATATAAGAGGTATGTCACATTATTCAAAACTAGGATACATTGTTTAGATTACTTTCTTACATTCAAATTCTCCTCATCCTTTATCTGTGTGGTTTGAATTATCTCAGTTAAATAAAACAGTCACAATAGTATTCTGTGTGACAAAGTCTATTTAGAGAATCACAACATTATTATTATTAGTAGCACCATTTTATACATAACTCCATGGGTTTTCCTAATCCCAAAGAGTTGTGAATTTGTCCTGGAGCAGCTGTGCAATCTATCACCCTGTTTTTAAACTGGGCCTTCCCAAAACCATGCTGCACACATCATAAGAATGTTATCACATCTTTCTATAATTTTATATATGTTGAAGGCCTAAACTAAACCACTTAACAATGCTCAGAGATAATCTCATGGTTTCCCACAGCTATGCTTTTATAAATCACCCAAATGTGTTAATCACAGAAAGAGACGCAGGAACATCTGTTTCAAACAATATCTCAAACCCACCTGTGCAAGGTATGCCCCAAATCCAGTTGCAATTGTTGGAGCTTCATAAGCCACACCGAGCTTGTCCACATACCCAAGGAAACTACACAGAGATATACAATGAAAGACAGTTGTAAGTTTAAGCATGTGAATCTGGATATTGTAGACTTTAAGGTACAAATGAATTAAGAAGGGTTTTTCTTAAAGGTTAATCCCACAGGTAACTCTCCATTTGCAGTGAAACTACATCAAACTAGGATGTCTCTGTAGAAAATAATCATGGGAGATGTAGCAGCTCCTTCAAAGTTGAAATTCGTTGTCCACTTTTTACTTATCTAGATAGGGGCTATACATTAGTATGCAGGACAAGTAAAAAGTATCAATGGTTGCACATTAAAGATCATAGATAAGCACAAGGACCTACAATGAATAACAATATATATTAATAGTGCAGTGTATATAAAACAAAAAACAAAAAAACACTTCTGAATGAAGTGGTCTGTATGCAGTGTTCCTGTCCCCTTAACCCTGTACTGTAAGAGTAACATCGGCGGGGCAGTGACGAGGGAGCTTATGAGTTGGATCAAGGTGAGTAAAACACCAGTAGAGACAGGAACACTACAGTGTTAGGAATAAAAATCTGTATTGCTAACTTTATAGTATTCCTTTATTCAGAAATATAGCGAACTTGCTGATCAGGAAGCCCGCTCTATGATTCGAACAGTTACATCACAGAAACTCTGGAATAATCTTCAGGAACCATCTTTTGGTCATTTTTGAGATCTGTTAATTTCTGCCAATCCTATTCCTACGGGTATGGCCTACCCATCTGCACATTTCTGTAAATATTTATCAGATAATCATGATTGAGAACTTAGTGAGAAGCAGAAAACATACAGGAGCCATGGCTATACATCTGAGTGTTTGCCCAGCCTGGCTCCAAGATTATGTGGATTTCTATCAATTTACAGTACACAAAGTGGCTCGATCTAGAAGCGTGCAACTCTAATCCAACTTTTACAACCACATAGCTCCATACAGAAAACAAAAAGGGCTTATTAAAGAACAATAAGGTTAGACCCACCTCTCTCCTTTATAGAGACCTCCAATTACCACGGTGTTCCACAGAGGATTCATCTTGCTTCTTCGGTTGTACATAACACGTGTCAACCACGAGTGCATAGCCTTAGGACTGTATGAGTGGCCATCTCCCAGAAGCTCCTCATCAATTCTGAAAGAGTCCACATACAATATTATTTACGCCAAAAATTAAAGATAAAAAAGATAAAGAATTGCCTCTTAGTAATTCTTTCTTACACTCTAGAAAACCAGACAGCTTGACAAAATGCACCTAGAATACATATCTGTTTCAACTTAATGTAATAATATGAAAGAAAACCAGTTATAATCAATAAGTTACAGAAAGGAGGATACAAACTACCTCTGGGCAGGCATGACAGAAACAAGGACTATATGAACTATATGTTTAATAATCAGAACTTACATCATCTGGTCAATGACTTGCTTCAGGTACTGATAATCTGCGTAATCGCCAGAAGCGCCCAACATGGTGCATGAATTCACTTTCATTAACCTAGAGATGTTTCGGAATCTAGCCAATGAACCATACGATCCCAGCATATCCGCAGCAATAATCACTCCCCCATCAAACTTCACCCCCAGTACAGAGGTTCCTGTTACCATAGGGTTCCTACAAAGATTTGGATTGGATTTTTGAAAAAGTTAACCATACAGAATAAAATTAGCAGATACTGCTCACTTAAACTTCATCAAGATATAGCCAAAATTATTTATAATTCATCCATGCAATATATAATTATTCTTCTGAATAAGGAACAATGGTGCACTTTTGACTTTTATTTATTCAATTACAGGATCCACCATGCATGACGTGCATTAGAAAAAAATGCATCAGGCACACTCCTACACAGGATTGCTGCCTCGGAACAAACTCAAACAAGGTTTAAAAATGAAAGTGAAAGCAAATGTGCAATCTGTACGGAGATTTTTTTATTTTTTCTTTCTTCATGAGACTCATGCATTTAACAACAAAACGCATTACTGGGCCTTAAATGCCAAATTCAGTTTGTTTTTTTAATAAGCCCCAGAAATCTATGTAAATATTTAATAGCTTGATAATAAATCATTGAATATAATGTTATTTCTAAAATCCAGAGGCCTAGAAAACCAATTTATATCCTAAGACATTTGTCCTGAGCCAAAGCAAGTAGAAAAAGAATGTTTAAATGTATGATAGATCTGGTATGGGAACACCAGTACTTCATCTTTCACAGATTAAATAATGGGAAACCATTAACAACCTGTATTCACCAGGGCTCTCTCCGTCAAATAGTCAGTTTTAGTCGTCCAGAACCCTCTACACGTTCCTTTCTCAGTCAGAACTGTAGAACTTGATCCCACTACATTTACAGTCATTCATACTGACTCAATATTGGGCTATCATGACCACTATACATCACTGATAAGCTTCTACTGTCCAGTCCATTTACAGATGACCCAGGACCTATAGTACTTTATGGGTCTTTGAAGCACTATAACTCATATATACAAAATACACTAGGAAGGCCTCTAATATCATAACCTAGTGGGTCATCTTCCTCTCAGACCCATTTCAAAGTCTCTCATAACCCCCATTTTATACCAGCGATGGCTAACTAAGGCACCCCCACATGTTTTCAAAATGCCTTCACCAGGGATCTTAAGCTCTGGCCAGATGTTGATGGCCTGTAAAAGATGTACCAAAAATCATAGCGTTAGAGTTCATCTAAAGGGTCTGGCATTGTGATGCCTGACAAATTCTGGGTGAACAACACAGGAAATGTTAAGGAAAGGTTACTCATTCCTGCTTTATACCACTTGGGTGGCATTCCTCTCTCTCTGACTCAAAATTGGGGCACCTAAACCCCCACACTATCCCACAATATTTCTCTATTGCAGGACCCTTCTATATTACCCCAAAAGCTTTCATCTTTCTTGCACTCTTTACACTTTTACAATTTACCTATCCTCCCTAATACACAAGTATGTCCGGTCGAGGCCCCTACACTCTGACCTACTTATATCCTCTGTCCGTCTAATGCTCGCATTCAAGATTTCTCCAGGGCTGCACCTCTTCTGTGAAACTCCCTTCTCCGTATGAATTTTACCCAGTCTCCACTCATTTAAAAAAAATCATTGAAAACTCACTTCTTCAAGAAAACATATCAATTAAACTGTTAGCAGGTTTTCATCCCCCACCCTCCATGACTCCCCTCCTGCAACTGTCAAAAATTACCTACTAAGCCCTCAGTGAATACTTTTCTAACAACCTACTTCGTACCCCTACTTTTACCCTTTGTGTCACCATAGCCCACTCCCTCTAGAATGTAAGCTCATTGAGCAGGGCCCTCCATCCCTCTGTTACTGTACGTCGAGTTGTCTGGTTACAGTTACATGTCTGTTAGTCCACCCATTGTACAGCGCTACAGAATCTGATGGCGCTATATAAATAATAATAATGAGGAAACCAAAGCCCCTCTAAACAATTGCCAAGATCTCCCTCTCTCCCAGATCCATTACATGGTTATAAACACCCCCTTTACTATGCCTTGTTCTCTCTCTCTCCCAGACCCTTTTATATTTGCTTACCATGGACCCCCATTCTCTATGCATGGTTCTCCCTCTCTCAGACCCTTTACTTGGTTATAAACACCCCCTTTACTATGCCAAATAGTTCCTCTCCCTTAGACACTTTAAATGGTAATCAAATCTCACCCCCCTCCCCTCCATTTACTATTCCTGGTTCTCCCCCTTTCCCAGACTGAACTACCCAGGACCCCCAATAACACACAGGCTGTCCCTCTCCCTGACTCTCTGGGGGGCTCCAGGACCCTCTGTCCCCCCACTCCCCCGGCTCTCCCTGCTGATATTATAATATTGAAGGCACTGCTCCTGGCCCCCTGTACCCCCCTCTCCCCCCAGGCCCCTTGCTGCTGATACTATAATATTGAAGGCACTGCTCCTGGCCCCTGGGGGCCCTTGCTGCTGATACTATAATATTGAAGGCACTGCTCCTGGCCCCTGGGGGCCCTTGCTGCTAATACTATAATATTGAAGACACTGCTCCTGGCCCCCTGCTTACAGTGTGTGTCTGTGTGGCCCCTCGCCGGTCCTGGTGTCCCCTCCAGGGAAGGAATATAAGGATCCCGGTGTCGGCCCGCCGGGCCACAGATTCATTCCACTTCCCATCATCATGGCTCCTGCAACAATGACAGTGCGAGGCTCACAACCGGAAATACGTAGCTGCCATACTTCCGGCGCTGCTGCCGCCTCCGCCGCCATGTTGTGACTGGCAGAAGGGATTTCCTACCTCCAGGTAATGAGAAGCTGCCAACCAACAGCCAACCAACAGCCAGTGTGGGCTCTGATGGGGATAGAGCTGGGGGGATACAGTGTCACAGTGCTGAGGAGGGTAGGAGCTATTAATAAGAAATGGAGGATAAGTGAGTGAATGGTCAGAAATATGGGGGAAATTAATAATAATTATATATGGAACTTATTGTTGTGATTAAAGTTTTTACTGTGGATAAAGAGTTTGTTATAAAATGGTAAAATTATGGTCTTTCTGGGGTACAAAAGGCCTCCATACCTGCTGCTCACACTGACAGCCCTTGTCATAACAAACTAGCTTCCTGGTGTATACCCACCACCACTATATATACAGCCACACAGTGACAGTCACTGAAATGGGAATTATCAGCAGTTCCAAGAGTGAAGGAAATTAAACTCTGAGTGGCAAAATGCAGGTTGAAATTGTCAAGCTGTAACTATAGCCCAGCTGTTGGTTTTCTGAAACAGCTATTTTACATTTCAGATTGAATGTGCTGAAGCAGCAAATAACCATGTGCTCATTTTTTCTGGGTTACATATGGAAAACAAAGACACATATAAGATTATTCATTAAAGTGTGCATTGTCAACATTTCAAAAGGGAATTTCAAATTTCAGGCCAAAATAGCCAACTTAAAAACATTATCAGTCAGTTATTAAGGGTATACTATAGGTACCAAAAACACTTTATCTCATTGAAGTGGTCTGGGTGCAGTGTCTCTGTTCCCTTAGTCCTGCAATTGCAATTACTGCAGTTATTGAGAAACTGCAATAATTACCTTGCAGGGTTAACTACACCTCTAGTGGATGGCTACCAGAAAGCCAGTAGTGGTGCTCCTGGTTCCTTAGCAGACGTTTGGACTTATGCTTTGCATACAGACATCCAGCATCAGCTAAAACGCTGTAGGGAAGTATTGATTTAGTTATTTCCTATTGGGAAGTCCTAATGCGAGCGCAGTGCCCCATGTCAGAAGAGCGGAGCTGGAACCTGACCCAGCACGAATCAGGTAAGTGACAAAATTATTTTTAACCCTCTCAGTGCTGGTGGAAAGGGGGAGGGCGCAACAGAGATGTGAGTAGAGGGTACTATAGTTCTAGGAATACTACTTTGTATTCCTGGCACTAAAGTTTCCCTATAAACATAAAGGTTTACTCCAACTATTCTATAGTATTTATTTAGATATTCAAGGAACACTATAGTCACCTAAATTACTTTAGCTAAATAAAGCAGTTTTAGTGTATAGATCATTCCCCTGCAGTCTCACTGCTCAATTCACTGTCATTTAGGCGTTAAATCACTTTGTTTCTGTTTATGCAGCCCTAGCCACACCTCCCCTGGCTATGATTGACAGAGCCTGCATGAAACAAAAACTGGTTTCACTTTCAAACAGATGTAATTTACCTTAAATAATTATATCTCAATCTCTAAATTGAATTTTAATCACATACAGGAGGCTCTTGCAGGGTCTAGCAAGCTATTAACATAGCAGGGGATAAGAAAATCTTAATTAAACAGAACTTGCAATAAAGAAAGCCTAAATAGGGCTCTCTTTACAGGAAGTGTTTATGGAAGGCTGTGCAAGTCACATGCAGGGAGGTGTGACTAGGGTTCATAAACAAAGGGATTTAACTCCTAAATGGCAGAGGATTGAGCAGTGAGGCTGCAGGGGCATGTTCTATACACCAAAACTGCTTAATTAAGCTCAAGTTGTTCAGGTGACTATAGTGTCCCTTTTCAGTTAGCGTTGTTCGCATCTACAGAACCTCTCACCCTGAATAATAATATGGGGCTTGACCACTATTTAGTATGAAATGGTATAGAATATCCTCATTCAAAACAAAGGTTACCAGTCTTGTACGTAGATATATGCTGGATATGTTTAAAGAGCAATTGGCAGGTATACACCTATCTCAAACCAAAAAGAAAAAATAATTGTGATCAGAATAAATAGAAAAGCTATTCAGCTTTTCTCTGACTAGAAGTTAACTCAAAGCTGTCCTCTCTTGTACAGGCTTTATTTAAACATGGCCAGAGTGATGAGGTTACCAAAGAGTTAACATATGCTTTAGTCTGCAGGATACAGGGAGATATTTTTGTTTCTATGCTAGATGTTCACTCCAGTGTGTGAACCCTATTAAGGCTGGCTAGTTAGAGTCAAGAAAATAAATTTATGCCTTCATACCCATTAAGCATATGGGCTATAAGTAATTCCTCCTTAGATAATACATTGCACTAAAGGAAGGTAAATTATACAAATAGAACTGTGATAGTTCAATATGAAATAGCAATTTATCTAATACTAACGGAAAATACAGCATAGATGCAGGTTAAAGCCTCTCTCCCTGTTAAACTTGCTAGACAGTCAGAGTATGAAAAAGAGAGAAAGAAGGTAAGGTGCTAATAAAAATAAAAATAGGTATGCATGGTAAGATACACCAGCCTCAGGACTTATGGAACATGGTAGCATTAAGAAAGGAAATAATAGTGCAGAGTATCCAAATAAAATAACACTTCTTTAATATAATGCACACTGAGAGGATAAAAGTTGCAAAAAGGCACATCGCAATCTGTTAAACGGGTATTCTGGTCCAGAAGAACAGAAAAACCAGGAAACAGTAAATACATAAATAAAGAAACATAAAAAACTCTATACACTAAAAAAGCCCTACGCGTTTCATTCAATATCCTTTGAACTTCTTCCTCGTGAAGGCATGAAGATACACTGTACCGATGATCTGTTTTTAAAGCCGTCTGGCGCTGGAAACTTTGGACCAATCCGTGTACGGTGACATTCTTCCACGTTCATTACTTGGGATACTTCCAGGTGCGTCCCTCGGACGTTTCCAGATTTGCGGATCAAGCCTCTCTTTCATGTTGCGTCCAAACGGATGGACGTCGGCATCTGGTAGAACGATGGTGTAACAGAACTATGCTTTTGCCCATGCTTTTTGCCTGGACTTAAATGACAAGGCTGCTGGATGTATCACACAAAAACCGAATGGCTATTTTCGTGGAAATATTCCTACTAGAGAATACAGACCAAAATACCGAACATCGGACCACCCAGGGGAACAGTTAATTGATATTTTACCTGCCAGCGCTTGTGGAGCCGTTCGCATGGTTCATACGAATTCCTTTGTGCTCAGGTTAGATGGCCGCCATTTCGGGACTTTACACGTGTTCGCGGACATCTTACACATGAATGGCGGTGTTTGCCTGTGAACGCATGGAACTAAAAACGGATACGCAAACAGGCGAACACCGCTGAGACCTCCAGGAGCTCGTAAGTTCGTGCTGGAACTACCGAACAACCGGCCATTCGGTAGTTTTGTTTAAGCTCTCATAGGGATTCCAGCGAACACCAGGATGACTGTGGATGGCAAGGAGTTCGTGGGGTTTTAATGCACGAATGGAGACCGACTGCAAGGCCAAAACTTATGGAACTCTTTTCGGCTAGAAAACCTGTGCGGTCAGTCAAAACTTCAAAGATCCATAACTCCCGAACCCCTCAACCGAATGGGCTGAAATTTGGATATATTGTTCCCCTGTTTTGGGGGTACATCCAGAATGTGGTTAAAATTGTGTCTGTTTTAATTATGTTATATGTTATCTGAGGGGAGGAGATGTGGGGGTTGAACCATGTATCTAATTGGCTGTTGTGTTAATTATGTGGGTGTAGCCTTTCAGAGGGCACCATTGCATAAAAGGAGACCCCAGTCAATAAACATCAGTTCTACTTGACCCTTCAAAACGTAGCCTCGTCTCGTTCTTGGAGGGGATTTATGGTACCATTACTCTGCCTCATTTTACAGCACTGCCGGATTATACACTTGGATATCGTGGATGGGAATAAGAACTCCATTACTTCACAGCAGCTTGCCTAGAAAAGGACATCTCCAACGGCAGATACCCCTCTCCAGCTGGGTAGCCTTTACAGATGGGTTCCATTAGTCTGTAAGCGTTCCACTGCTCAGTGGCAGTGGCGTCACTGGGGGGGGCAAGAGGGGGCCATGGCCCCACCTGCATAATGCTGTGCCCCCCCAAAATGCCGACAACTTGCTGGCCATGTGGTTAGATTCTATTGTTGCAGCCCGAGGGAATGCAGGTCAGAGGGGCTGGAGCGCTGGGTGCTGTCTGTGGAGAGATGCTGGGGCACTGACAGTCTCCCCGACAAGGCCCCGCCCCAACTAAGCCCCACCTCCCGCACATGAGCTCCGCCCCCGCCATTAAGCAGCAGACCTTGCTGCTGCTGGAAAGGCCAGAAGATGGCTTTCTGACCCCCAGCAACAGCCTCCACTGACAGTTATTATTATTATTATTATTATTATTATTATTATTATTATTATTATTATGCTCAGGGGTGTGTGTGTGTCTGCTAGAGAGGAAGCTTGTCTGTGTGTATGGACTCAGCAGTCAGTCTGTGTGTATGGACTCCGCAGTCTGTGTATGTATGGACTCAGCAGTCTGTGTGTATGGACTCAGCAGTCTGTGTGTCTGTGTGTGTATGGACTCAGCAGTCAGTCTGTGTGTATGGACTCCACACACAGACTGCTGTGTATGTATGGACTCAGCAGTCTGTGTGTGTATGGACTCAGCAGTCTGTGTGTCTGTGTGTGTATGGACTCAGCAGTCTGTGTGTCTGTGTATAGATTCAGCTGTCTGTGTATGGACTCAGCAGTCTGTGTCTCTGTGTGTGTGTGTGGACTCAGCAGTCTGTGTCTGTGTGTGTGTGGACTCAGCAGTCTGTGTCTGTGTGTGTGTATATGAACTCCGCAGTCTGTGTGTCTGTTTGTATGTATGGACTCAGCAGTCTGTGTGTGTGTGTGGACTCAGCAGTGTGTGTGTATGGACTCAGCAGTCTTTGTGTCTGTGTGTGTATGGACACAGCAGTCCATGTGTATGTGTGTGTGTATGGACTCCGCAGTCTGTGTGTGTGAATGGACTCA